CACTTATGAACAACTTTCACCAATTACATGGGCAAGCACAACTTTCAGGCTTAACCCATTTGGTATCTATTTAGTCAGCACAACCTAATCTTTCATATATTACAAAATAAAATGAGCTATTAGACTGTTTGTGAGTACTGAAAATAATTAAAGTGTATTTTGTACTGAAAACAGATTTCGATTATATTAAACAGGAGCAAATTAGGCTTTATGCGCTCTGGAGGTTTTGCTATCTCTTTTTCCTCTAGGCAGCAGCGATTTGACAAATAACATAATAATTTATTCTGGTCATTGAAATGAATTAACATTCAAGTGCTAAACACACCTAGGTTTACAGTTTACAGATGTAAAGCGGTTTTTTCTGCCAAAAAGCTGCTGCTTCTGGACACTGAGCTTAGAGGCAGGAAAAAAAAATACCAGATGCTCCTATGAGCAGCAGGAAAAACATCCAGTGTGCATGAGGCCTTATAGTGTGATACTGTATTACCAATTTATATTACAGGGTCTCTTTTTAAGAAAATATATGTTTTGGGCCTAAAATGTGCATTTAACATGCATGAAATCAGGTATGTACAACTGGTAGCAGCAAATTACATTAACAGCTCAATCCCACCAGAATTCATTGTGGCAAACCAATGTTCTATGCGTGTTTCCTGGTCCATGTTCAGAACGAACTGGGTATGTGATCTGCTGCAGGTGTCAAAGTATTCCTAACACCCCAAACGCAGAACACAAATGCAGTGCATTTGCCTGCACTGGATCACATGATACCCTAGTACCATGCGATCGTTTGCAATGCATTTTTATAAGCAGTGCATGCACTACTTTTGATGTGTTTTGAATGGGCTGAAAATCGCACCACACTAATTCACACAGGAATGCAGACTGCATTCTTGTGCAGTTCAAGTGTGAACCAGCCATTAAGTGTTTTTTTTATTGTTTACAAACTATTTTATTTTTCAAGAAATAGACTGTAAAGTAGCATTACAGCTTCAAACAGTATATAAAAACAGAAACAAGGCACAACTGAAATATGCATGTCAAAAAGTACAATCACGTAAGGTAAAGAGAAAAAGAAGAGAGAAAAAGTAAAAAGAACTTAAGTACATGAGCAAAATAAATAGAAAAATATACAGAATTATTCAGCTACTGACAGAGTATCTCAATCAATCCAAACATGGGTGTTTCTTAATCATGTAGTAAATGCCCATGAGTCTTCCAAATTTCCCATTTTCTATCAAATAAGTGCATCTTGTCCAGTAAAGTTTTAATTAATTCTTTCCATGAGCATCACAGCATCCATCCTATGCAGAACAGAAGCCAATGGTACTGTGAGGGACTTCCAGTGTAGGGCAATAGCCCATAGGGTGGATATACAAATGGTATGGATTAGCCTCATAACCTCAGTCTGAACTCCCGAGATATGGCCTCCCAGTAGGCAGGACTGCACAGTCAGATGCACCAGAACCCCCGCCGTCGCAGAAGCCACCTCCGAGATCCTACGCCACACCAAAGAGAGGCCCGGACAGGTCCAAAATGTATGCACAGAGTACCTGCAAGGCCGCAGTCACAAAAACATAGGTTAGATGTGTTCGGATACAAGACATGTAGCCTGGATGGGGTATAATACCATCTGGTTAATACCTTGAGGGCTGTCTCACAGACTGAAAGGGATCTGGAGCTCTTACATATGTTATCCACCATGGAATCCCAATCCTCATCTGAAAAGGTGATGCCAATGTCAGTGTCCCATTTTTGTCTGTAGAGAGGGGGTGTGGGAGAAGAATTAGCCAAGAGTTGACAATACACATCTGAAATAAGACCCCTGCCCCTAGGAGAGTCACGGCTAATACGTTCAAAAAACAAAATCGGAGATGAAGGTACAAGGCCAAAATGTGAACTAAAAAAATGTCTCATCTGTCGATAATGATGATATTCACGAAGTGGGATATCAAAGTGTGTGCGTAACATCTCAAAGGTGATATAAGATCCTCCTCTTTGAAAATCAGATAACCTAATGAAGGATCTATCATACCACCAACGAAACGCCTGCGGAGATGAAAAAGCCGCAACAAAATCCGGGTCACCAAAAAATGCTGTACCCAGAGAGATAGAGGAGATCAGATTTAATCTAAGTTTATATCGAGACCAAAGCATCAATGAATGGTCCACAATGGAATTATGGGTCTATAATGAGCCATTAAGTGGTTTTAAAGGCTGAAGGTTTATTTTACCTTCATGCATACATCGTGTCCCAAATTATTATGCAAAATCTATTTAAGTGTCACAAAGATTAAATATTTTGTTTTTCAGTTTAACTCATGGATGGCATTGTGTCTCAGGGCTCTTTTGATCACTGAAAACAATCTCGGACACCTGTGATAATTAGATTGGCCGGTGAGCCCAATTTAAGGAAAAACTACTAAAGGAGGGTGTTCCACATTATTAAGCAGAGCACCATTTTCAAGCAATATAGGGAAGAAAAAGGATCTCTCTGCTGCCGAAAAGAGTGAAATAGTTCAATGCCTTGGACGAGGTATGAAAACATTAGATATTTCACGAAAACGTAAGCGTGATCATCACACTATGAAGAGTTTTGTGGCTGATTCAGAGCAGAGACGGGTTTGTGCAGATAAAGGCACATTGTGGAAGATTTCTGCCAGATCCATGCATCTGATCAAGAGAGCAGCTGCTAAAATACCACGCCTCCCACCTCCCCCCCCCCCCCACCCTGTCCTCCCCTCCTCTCTCCCGCCCCCCCCCCCCCTCTCCCGCCCCCCCCACCCTCCTCACCTCCACTCCCGTGCCCGCCCCCGCCCCCTCCCCCCCCCCCCCTGCCCCCCCCCCCCCCCCCCCGCCCCCTGCGCTCGCCCCCCCCCCCCCCCGCTCCACCCTCGCCCCCCCCCGCCCCCCCGCCACCCCCCCCTCCGCTCCCCCACCTCCTCCCCCCCCTCCTCTCCCCCCCCCTCCTCCACCTCCTCCTCCCCCTCCCCCCCCCCCCCCCCCCTCTCCCCTTCTCCCTCCCCCTCCCCCCCCCCCCCCCCCCCCCCCACCCCGCCCCCCCCCCCACCCCCGTCCCCCCCCCACCCTCCCTCTCCCTCCCGTCCCCCCCCTCCCCCCCCCCCCGTCTCCCCCCCCTCCCCCCCCCCCCCCCGCCCCCCGTCCGTCGAACTACCCCCGCCCCCCCCCCCCTCCATCGCCCGCCCCCCACCCTCCCCCCCCCTCCCCCATCCCCCGCCCCCCCCCAGTCCCCCCTCCCCCGCCCCCCCCCCCCCCCACCCTACTCCCCCCCCCCCCCCCTCCCCCCCCCCCCCCCCCCCCCCCGCCCCCCCGCTCCCCCCTCCCCCCCCCACCCCCCCCCCCCCCCCCCCCCCCCCCCCCCTCCCCCCCCCCCCCCCACCCCTCCCCCCCCCCCCCCGCCATTTTCCATCCCCCCCCCCTCCTCTCCCCCTCCCCACCCCCCCCCGTTACATAGTAGCAAACAGATATTTGAAGCTGCTGGTGCCTCTGGAGTCCCACGGACATCAAGGTGTAGAGTCCTCCAGAGTCTTGCAAATGTGCATAAACCTTCTATTCGGCCACCAATAACCAATGCTCACAAGCAGAAATGGCTGCATTGGGCAGAAAAATACATGAAGACTAATTTTCAAACAGTCCTGTTCACTGATGAGTGCCGTGCAACCCTGGATGGTCCAGATGGATAGAGTAGTGAATGGTTGGTGGACGGCCACCCTGTTCCAACAAGGCTGCGATGTCAGCAAGGCAGTGGTGGAGTCATGTTTTGGGCCGGAATCATAGGAACAGAGCTGGTCGGCCCCTTTAGGGGCCCCGAAGGTGTAAAGATGACCTCTGCAAAGTATGTGGAGTTTATGACTGACCAATTTCTTCCCTGGTACAGAAAGAAGAACTATGCTTTCTGTAATAAAATCATCTTCATGCATGACAATGCACCATCTCATGCTGCAAATAATACCTCTGCATCAATGGCTGTTATGGGGATAAAGGGAGAGAAAGTCATGGTGTGGCCTCCATCCTCCCTGACCTCAATCCTATTGAGAACCTTTGGAGCATCCTCAAGCAAAAGATCTATGAGGGTGGGAGGCAGTTTACATCCAAACAGCAGCTCTGGGAGGCTATTCTGACATCTTGCAAACAAATTCAAACAGAAACTCTCCAAAAATTCACAAGTTCAATGGATGCAAGACTTGTGAAGCTGCTATCAAATAAGGGATCCTATGTTACAATGTAACTTGACCTGTTAAAATGTTTAAAAAGTTAAAATGTTGTTAAAAGTTTGATTGAAATAGCTTTTGATTTCAGTAAATATGCTGCAAAAACACAACATATGACAATTTTCAGTTCTTTACAACCTATAAAGTGTTTTGAAACTGTGCGTAATAATTTGGAACAATGCATTGTAAGTTTCTTATGTTTAAAAAAAATACTGTTATCATTAGGAGGTTTGTTCAATAAAATGTGAATTGTACTCTTAATAGTTGATAACATGAGAATTATGCTGACTGTTATTTACATCAATTATTTAGTTAAATGAGAAAAATATAATTTGCATAATAATTCGGAACACGGTGTAGAATGTGTGCTGCACCCCCACAGTCCCTGTCAATCACAGCCAGTGAGCCAATGAGGAGTGCATGGAGGCGGGGCTGAGGTGCAGCGCTATGTGTATAGAGCAGGGCTCGGGAGCAAGCATGCACCAGTGCCCCATAGCAAGGGGCTTGTTATTGGAGGCACTGGTCAAGAGGGAGAAGCCAGGAGCGCCGCTGGGGGACAAGAGAAGAAAAGGATTGAGGCTGCTCTGTGCAAGATCATTGCATAGAGCAGGTAAGTATGACATGTTTATTATTTAAAAAAAACAAACGGACGTTTAGAATCACTTTAACCAGTTTCCTGACGCCCTATAGCAGAAATACTGATACAAGGCGGAAGGGCTGCGCAAACTCACGCCCTACCCGCGCCATCATTGGTGGCTACGGAGTCAATCACTGGGTCCTGGCTGGCGATTCTATGCCAGCTGGATTCCACCCAGCGATCGACGAGCAACACTGACAGTGTGGAGAGACCTGTGTGTAAACAATACAGATCTCTCTCCTGCCAGCAGGAACATGCAGCTTTGTATTTCTCTGCATAGCAGACAAATACACAGCAGCATGTTTCCTTAGTAAAACACACACAGCACATGTTGTAAAAACACAACAGCACACAGTTAACCCTTTGATCACCCCAGATGTTAACTCCTTCCTGCCCAGTGTCATTAGTACAGTGTCAGTGCTTTTTATTAGCACTAATCATTATATTAGTGTCACTGGAGGTGTCAGTGGCAGCTAGTCAGTTCCCACCCAGTGTCAGAATGCCTGCCGCAGTCCCCATATAAGTCGTAGATTGCCGCCATTACTAGTATAAAAAAATGAAATAAATAAAAATTCCAGTATATATACACACCACCATTTGTAGACGCTATAATACGTAAATCAATTAATTTACACATATTGGGATTTTTTTTTTAGCAAAGACATGTAGCAGAATACATTTTGGCCTAAATTTCTGAAGAAATGTGATTTAAAAAAATTTTTTTACTCGATAGATCTTATAGCAAAAAGTCAAAAATATATATACTTTTTTCAAAATTGACTGACTTTTTTCGTTTATAGCGCAAAAAATAAAAAATGCACAGGTGATCAAATACCACCGAAAGAAAGCTCAATTTGTGGGGAAAAAGGACCTAAATTTCATTTGGGTGCAGCATTGCATGACCGCGCATTTGTCAAAGTAATTGCGCAGCGCCATATCGCAAAAAATGGCCTTGCCAGGAAGTGGGGTAAATTCTCTGGAGGGCAAGTGGTTAAAGTCAGAAGGTTTATGCATGCCATATTAGTCCACTGTACTGGGGTTAACACATGCGTAATATTGTATGTTGTATAAGGGCAGCCTGTTCCAATGAACCACAACGGACAAAAAAAAACGTGCATGCAGAATTCTTAGGAGCACACAACATGGCACCTCAGAATGCTGCAACATGTTTCGCTGCAATACAAGTGCACTGAGAAGATACATTTTGGTGCCATCTAGAATGAATTGCACTGCATCAGCTCATATAGCACACATTACCATGTGCTGCAATAACACATGCACTGTCATACGTTACTATAGTGCGAGGGTGTAAACAGGGCCTGCTTTAATTTGTTTATAATATCAAACAGCAGAAATATTTACAATGCCTATAACATGATATCTTATCTATTACTGTATCTATCCCTCAGAATATGATGCAAAAAAATGTATTGAGGTGTATGCATCGTTAAAAAGCAGACAGCAGTTTTGATTTGCAGGATTCATCCTGCACAGCTTTGTATAATTACATTCTATGCCCTGGAGTGTCAGGGCCAAATACCCATGAGAAACCACAAAGGATTCACACTAATTCCAGACCTAATATAGGTCACTACTTTTGGTTACAGAAAATAGGAGTGCAGGAACATGTAGCGTTTCTCCATAGCCGCAGGATAGCAGTTAATGGAACCCTTATCAGTAAGATAGATGTCCTTTTACCAGGGATGCGATATGACAAACTTGCCTTGGTTTGTTTATCTCCTAGTGCAGACTCTTTTCTATACCTGACAAAAAGAAACTAGCAATTCTTTTATGTTTCTTTACGATTGTTCAATAAATATAAATACAATTCTGTACAAGGTGAATTTTATGAAATATCGTACTGTGGAATTTAAAGAGGTCCTGGCATAAAAAAAAATTTATTCTAAAAACGAACATGTGCACTGATTTGAGTACAGCAGATATTATAATATGTACACACTTTGCAGATTATTAGCACTGATCACTGTATTAGTATCACACCTCCACCAAAGGCAAGTTGCCAAGTGCACCTTGGCAGCAGCCCTTGTTATATGTGATGTAAGCTATCCTATACTTTACAGGTAGTTGCTGTACTGTTTGTGAATTTCTGGGGTTTCTATGTTCCAGATTCGCAAATTTCTGTGCAGATTTACCTGGGAGAAATTTGATGAAACCATTATGTGCTGCATGACCTTTGAACTATGGTCATTAGGCTTGGAAGGACCAATAAAGCTGGCCAATACTTGGATGAAAATTCAGCTGGTTCAGCAAGGACCAGCCAAAGTTTGATCCATGTATGAGCTAGCTGGTTGCACACAAGTCGATCTTGTGTATAACCAGCCTGTCAGGTTTTTTTTGATCAGCTAAAGCCTGCAACATTGATCATTCTGCTAGTGGGGTAGGCTCCCTCCCAGCAGAATACAATAGCTCAATAGCAGTGATTCCTTCATCAACATACTGTGGAATGAACTCGGTGAATTAAAAAAAAAAAATTAAAAAATGAATCACATATGGCCTGCCTAAGAGGGCTATTTGATAAGCTAGTCCCTTCACTATAAGGTCAAATGCACACTAGCTATGCAGCTTTGATTAAAATAATAACTTGTGATCCTATCCTGATGGTCCTTGCTTAGGCACTTGCTGTTAAAGAGTGACAGCTGTCTCCTAAATGTGCTGTCACCCTATCATATGGCCCATCTTGATTGAGACCACCAGTGGCACTGCCAGTGCATATTCTGCAGGAATGGTACCACATTTTCACTATTCGTAAAATGATCAAGTCCAGTGCAATTATCTGTAGCTGATGCTGGGGTTAGTGTATTACGAAAGGAAATAGCTGAAAAGGGCCGGAGGAGATCACCAGCACCAAGATGCAAAGAAGGGTCAAATGAAGTGAAAACATTTGGGATATATGGCATAAATATTCCTTTATTCTTAATGGAGACAAGACCCTTTGATCTTCAGAATTTGTTCAGAAAGCTAGTTCTGCTTTAGTTCTGTTATGCATTCATTCACCTACACTTCCACAAGACACAAAAAGGAGACAGAGTGGGTTGTGTTTTGTGATGTAATATTTTGTATTGTCTACTGCCATGACTCACTACTGTAAAGCCTAGCTTCACATCAATGCAAGTGCGGGATTGCGTGTAAATCACATGCGTTCCTGCACCCACAGAAAAATTGCGCTGCTGAGTAAAAGATACATGGATGTGCCATTCATTTTTAATGCCACCCCCATGCAATGGAAGAGACAGAATAATTTCCCTTGTGCAGAAAGGCATAGGACCATGTGATTTCCATGCAGCTACATTTAAAAAAAAAAAAAAAAAGGTGCAGGGACCTTTTCATTGTGGGTTCTGCAAACGTGCCCTGCAAGAAAACCACAACAGTGTGAACCTAACCTAAAAAGACAATTTACTACATTTGTTTGAATGCTCATCCTATATATGTGTTATATGTCAACAGTTTAAGAAAAAACAAAGTTAAGCCATGGTAACTGTATATGAATCACAGTGCTTTTCAAAGTTACAGCCTGGATTGGGGCTTTAAGCATCTCATCTCAAGTGTAATCTTTGCAATTTTATCTTTTCTACAGCGCTATTGTTTTTTCTTTAAACATGTGTTATAAACAAGCATATTCTTTGCAATGCTCTTATATAGTCAAATAAAAGTTAAACACGATTCAATAAAGTCTCTCTATGCATATAAAGTGTCCACATGCTTCCAATTATTCACAGTATATTGCACAACGCCTTCAAACTTATTAAAAAGTGTCCATGCTCAGAAAAGTACTCCATTTCCAACAATCAGTGCCATAGTTTCCAAAATCCTCCACCATAAACACAGAACACTCACCAGATTTATATGATTACCTATCAGAGGAGAGTCAAACAGTGCTTAGTATCATGGATAACCACCATCAGCCTTCTTCTTGGGCCAGCTGTATTCCTTCCTTTTAAATGTCTCATACAACATGTAGGTAGAGATGGTGGGAGACTATCATAGTGTGAAATCTTTAAAACCTTTTATTTATTAAAAACCACTTCCACAATGCCTACTCCCATTGTTAGCTGCATACCCTTGCACCAGGATAAACATGCATGTTACATAAGCATAGGGATAACACGGATCTAGCTCTAGGCTCTCTCATCGCCACCTTGCCCTGTATTAACCATTTGCCCTCCAGAGGATTTACCTACCTTCCTGACCAGGACATTTTTTTTGTGTTACGGCGCTACGTTACTTTGACTGACAATTGCGTGGTAATGCAATGTTGCACCCAAATGACATTTATGTACCACAAATTGAGCTTTCTTTAGGTGGTATTTGATCGGCTGTGCGGTTTTTATTTTTTGCGCTATAAAAAAAAAAAAATCAAAAGACTGATAATTTTGAGAAAAAAAATATTTTTGACTTGTCCAGTAAATATGTTCAGAAAAAAAAAAAACGTAAAAATCTAATTTAGTCATGAATTTAGGCCAAAATGTATTCTGCTACATGTCTTTGCTAAGAAAAAAATTCCAATTCATGTAAATGTATTGGTTTACGTGAAAGTTATATATATATATATATATGCAAAATATTATATATATATATATATATATATATATATATATATATATATATATATATATATAAATATATATATATATATGTGATTTTGTGCACCCATTCCACCCTGTAGCAGTAATTCTGCTATAGGGCGGATGGGAAGTGGTTAACCACTTCCGGTACCGGTGTGTGGGATGACATCCCTTCCTGCTACGACCCGACACAGCATTTCATCTTCCTGACGTTCTCAAGAGGCACAGTTTATGGCATGTTTATCTTTTATACAGCACTTTTGTTTTTTTATTTAGAGTACATAGAAGGGCTGATATGACTAGTATAGCACTTGGTACAGCAGCTGTGGTGAATTAAGGGGTCACATCCAAAGCACTGGTTCACATTATTTAAATAATCTTTGCAATTTTTCCTTATAGCGGAGGTCCTTCGTCCCCCTTATTAATTTTGTTGCCCTTCACTGAACACTGCTCTAGTGCAAAGACATCTTTCCTGTGGATTGGTGACCAAAATTTAACTGCATATTAAAGATGAGGCCAACCAGTAATTTGTAAAGAGCAAAATTACTGCTTTAGTTCTTGAATATATGCTCTTTTTAATACAAGAGAGCATTCTGCTAGTTCTGTTGGCTGCACATAGGCTGTGATCAACAAGTCTTTTTTTCCCCATAATCGAGGATCCCCTATTAATGAGTATATTGCATGTATATTTTTAAGCACCCAAGTCCATAACTAATTTTTTCCAATACTGAACCTCAACTGCCATGTATCTACCCATTCCCCTCTTTTATCAAAGTCTTTCTGTAATATTACTCTGTCCTGTGCCTAATGTATTTCCCTGCATATTTTTAAATCACCAGCAAAACACAGAACTCAAACTCTTAATTCTGACTTCAGTTATAAACAAATGAACAGCAACGGCTTAGGACAGTATCCTGGGGCAAACCATGCAGAACCTTTAGAGAAGGAGTAATTTATCATTATTCTATGGACCCATTCATGTAACCGGTTTGAAATTCAAATAAATGCAATTTCTTCCACATGAATAGTCCTAATTTGCAATTAAACCTTTATGAGGTAAATTATT